GAGAAGGGGGTGTTCTGGAGACTTCTCTTTCAGGTGCGAACATTCATTCAACCCAATAAAGGCATTTTAGGGGAAAAAAGCCAATATATAAAATTGATTGTTTCCTGTACTTTGATTAAAACAGAAAACGCTTGGTAATATGCCATAATGCTAAGCATTTAAGCATTTAAAATTGATGATCAGGAAGTGCGTAACCTTTTCCTGAATGACAAGTGAACGTTTTCATTGGGAAACACTGTAGTCTATAAACAGGAGCATCCAAACACATTCAAACCGCTCCAGCACTTGATTTTCCCCCTGGCCTTTGCATCTAGATTGGAGAGGCCATAGGCAGTTTCAGACCAAGGGCTGAATCTAAAAGAAACGAAGTCCGTTTAGCTGTCACAGTCGTTGTCACCTTCAGTCTCTGGCATCTTCCGCCTCACCCACTGCACTGAACTTCCCGAAGCCACATTACTTTGGGAGACGAGGAGTCGCTGATCGATTACGTACACTAATTAAACACACCACCTGTAGGAGGCATTTTAATAACTTCGTGCCAGGGGAACTCTCCTCACTGCTCACTTTGAAACGCAGGAGAAAACGCACCAGCCAGGACGCACGGGGCATTTACAAACACTGCTCCCGTCTGCACTGACTATCAAACTGCCCTCCCCCCACCCCCACCCATAGTCATGTAACTCTTCAACAGGCTGAGATCGCCTAGAAAATGGAATTATATGCTGATTTGTTCGTATATTAAGTTGTCACAGAAGATCCAACCAAACACAGTAAAATGAATTCTGAAAAAATATTAACTAAGTTGGTTGGCCTGTACCACAGCAACGTAAACCGTTCCTCTTAAGAGATCTAAATACAATAAATATTTTTCAAATGGACATTGTCTCCTCTTCGATAAATAAATGTTTTAACCAACCCAAGGCAACGACTTGCATGATTTAAAAACATTTACACAGTTTTTCCCTTAAGGAGAACAAAGGCAGGTCACTTCTTTTTTCAGGAGGACAGAAGAAGTGGAGAAGGGCACGGTACCCAAAAGAGAAATAATTTGCCCAGGAAAAGCTTTACTGGATCTATGTGTTTATTAAATTTAATTCACATAAACAGCCCTATACACGTACTGTAAAATGAACAAACAGGTTTCAAATAATGCTGAGGCCAAGAGGTACTGAATACAATGTATTTATTATTTCACTCCAAAATAAACTAAGTACATCAATACAGATGTTTTCCTTAGAATAGATTTCTCTGAAGAAACTATGCTTTATTTTAAAAAACTATGAAAAACTCTTTTTCCTGGAAGGCATATCTGAATGTCTTGTCCATAGGTAAGTTCTATGGATAGATACTACATCGACTTAAAAAACGATAAACCAAATTAATGGTTGAAGGATTTGGGCCGCCAGTTTTATAATACGATGGTGGTACGTCCCTCGTATTTCTGTTTTCAAAGGCTCTTTTATAGAAAAAGGGGAAGGACGTGTGGGCAGGGTGATGCAGAAATGAAGTCCCACAGCATTTAGAACCACGAAACCAGCATTTTAGAACCCCCCCCCCCCCCCCCCGGCTCACTGCGGGACACACCCAAGCCCAGTGGCAGAGGTCCTCTGTGTCCCAGCCTTCGGCAACTACTTGGGGAAAATCAAATGGTCACTTTTTGTTCTAGAGGCCACCCCATTTTCCATGAAAACATATGTTTATAGTTTTCACTTTATCGCAACATTCCTACTGCCAACACCACAGAAGAACTAGCACTCACGAAGAGCCACCTGAATTTCCTTGCAATCATAACTGCTATTTAATTTCTAAAGGGATTCCACCAACTGCTTTTTAATAGGGTTTTATTCTTATTAGTTATCATAAAACATGTTAGGTTCCCATGAAATATCAGTTTGACATCTTGTTCAAATACTCACTTCTCTGCTATATATTACTGCCGTTGTTTGCCTTATTTCTCCTTATCAAGTTAGATATGGAGATACTTGTTCAGGCAATAAAATCTCAGGCTTCTTGATGGACTACAAAATAAAGCTGTATACTTCATTGCTGAGAATTCCCGCATGAAAGACCTTATGTACTGAGATCTTAATCCATAAAAAGGTGAGAATTAACATGTTTAAAAGGGGGAGAAATCTGACAAAAATGAAAACATGCACTGGCATGTACAATATCGGGACCCAAGTAAATTAATCTTCATTCCCCCTGAAAGCAATCTGATGTCCAGGGACCCGGAGTTATTCTACCATAAAATACGGCACATTAAATACTACAATGACCCATCTGAAATGTCTTAAGGTAATCATCATGTCACCTACAAATAACTGTACATATAGTTACATTTTAATATTCATTACCGAAGGTCTAATGCAAAATATGTTGAAGTTGTAAAAATATTCAGTGGGTTAAAGATCAGCTCGAGCAAATCAGTAGCTATCCTATGACTAAAAAGTAAGAGTCCAAATGAGATTGGAAAAAGAATCGCTAAGAGCAAGGGCACAATATGTGGACCCTGGTTCTCACAGAAGACACTGCCACTCCTGCTGGTTTGCATATAAAACCCTTTATCTCCACGAGCTGGTTGAAGAGAATGAAAAGCCCCTTCCGACCAGCCGAAAAGAAAGTCTTTTACCATTGCCCCCTGAAAAAGCTCATTTTCCCATTACTCAGGCTTCATTATGCTAAATCAATATTCGTTTAGTCACTGGGGTTATTGACATATTTTAAAATAAAAGTATACCCTTCAGCTACTGCACTCATTACAGGTAATTTGTCTTGTCAGAGAGCAGGGAATATTACCCTAGTCTTTCAGGGGCTGACAGCCCATGGAAACACCTCCCCATGGTTACAACTGTAAATAATTTTAAGGTAAAATATTGAAAAATCAATGACTGTTTCCTGCAATCTGTCACAAACAAATCAATCATCATCTGCACGCCCGGGAGGATGATGTGAAGGAGACGGGGGCAGATGTAATTCTTGGCTGGAATCTCTCATTTCAAAATCACTTCACATAATGGTGTCATCATTTAAACACTTAACAGTCAGTGCGACTGCCACCGCAACATCTCGCTGGACAAAACCATGAGGAGGAGGAGGAGAAAACACCGCCGCTGTTCTGTTAACAAACATTTCATTTAAAGGGTTGCTGCATTAGGAGACTGCAGCTGAAACCAGTTTTACCCGCCCCTTCCGGGGTTCTAAATTAATCAAGGCTGTTTTTCTACGTACTAATGCTTAATCAACTAGCCCGTGACTCAAAATTTTACTCTCTGAAGCGTGTGCAGCTTTTATTTGAAAAGTCCAATATGGAGAATAAAATTTAGTACTAATAAATAAAACATTTGAAATGTAGAATAGCCATAATTCTATCTACATAACAAAGACAAAAAATAGTGTTACAGATGTCAAGATTATACTTTTAAAATAGGTTTAAAGGTCTCAGTTGCCCAGATATTAAATTTTATATTTCCCTTCTATTAATAAATATTACATTTTAACTTTGTAAACCTGTGGCATATTTTAAGGTGACCAGCAAGAGATATTAGCCAATTCAAAAAGACTCTTGCATTCTACCCAAAGCTATCCCAGGGCCCGGTTTTCACAAACTGGAGTGATAACCCAAGTACACAAAGTGTAGAAGTCGGTCAAGGTCCTAACACTGAACTGCTTCGCAAACGTAAACTGCTTTCTAAGTAATCACTTTGACATCACCATGTTTTCTCGGCTCCATTTGAATGGCTCCTTCAGCTGCTTACAACCTCTACCTAGGCACAAATGAAAGAATCTTTGAGATTGGTCTATTTTCCCCTTCCTGTTGTGTTAACCAAACACATCACTTGATCTAAAGATTAAAGAGGATTTCTTGAAGGTTTTTGTTTTAAAATGTACCCTAGCTCCTTTAAAGGAAATTAATTTTAATTACCACCTTGCTTACCAATGTCCTCATTATTTAATTAGTCATCATCATGAAGCCCTTTATTGTTCTACTAATATCTTCCCACAGATATAATTCAGTGAGTAGATATTTTTGATGACTAGAGAAGTGTATCCTTTTTCTTAAAAGTGAAAAATATACAAACACCGTGACTCAATTTAACCCTTCATACACATTTTTAGATGTACTGACCAGCCCCTTATAAAAGGCTTTCACATTTTCAATTTCACCTGGGTATTCCATATGGTAACACGGTATGAGAAGATAGAAGCTTTTCTTATGGATACAAATTGAACATAACATTTGTTCTTCAACAATCTTAGACTCATTCCGGAACACCAACGTTAGGTTCTTGAAAATGAAACGGCACGCAAATAAATGATCAAAGATATCCTCCAGAACAATACAGAGTTCTCCACTCCACGTGAGTCCCTGCAACAGCTGCAAAGGGCGCAACAGGCCAACCTAATGAGAGGAAAAGGGAAGTATGACCGGTAGCCTAGGATTACGCGAAACACGGAAAGGGACTCAAAGCCACGAATGAGGAGAAGGACCCTTGAGGGTGGGCTCCCAGCCTGCGGCGGCCCTGGAGGAGCCCAGGCGGGGCCGAGCCCTGGAACCAGGAGCCAAGCACCCATCTCCCACTCAGGGTTTGCCTGTGGCAGGCAACACAGGCAGAGAGCGTGCTCACTCAGATAAGGCAACAAAGGCTGGGAGGCGAACGAGGGCAGCTAAGCAACCCGCTACCTGCGTCCACATCAGTGGCAAAGTAACACGGCATCTCGCAGAACTGTGCGGCCACCGCCACAGTCCGGATTCCCAGAAAGATGCTATTTTAAGGGTGTTGTGTAGGCCCCGATGGGATTTCTCAGCTCTCCCGGCACAACCCATGGCCCTAGGAGAAGCAGCTCAAAACTTAGCACGGGGGAAAAAAAATCAGATCACTTTCCTATCTCCGAAGTAAAGAAATTGCTGTCTACTGGATAAAGTTCTTATGTGTAATAAGGGCTTAGGATTATAGAGGAAAGTATTCTTAAAAAAAAAAAGAAAGAAAAGATAATATTACCTCCCTATTTCAGAATCTCCTCCTTCCAATAGCCAGTACAGTAGACCCGTCATGAACTGCAGAGTCTTGAAAAGAAAAACAGCAATAGTTAGCCTCATCTTTCCTACACTTCCATCCTTCATGGAATTACAATTTAATTACCAACACCTCAATTGATTCTATTCCTGAATTATACATTTCTCAAAGAGTATACTCCAGCTATTTCCACCAGAGAACATTTAGGACAACCTCCTCAATTAATCAGCCACAATCTAGTACTGCTAAAAGGAACGTGTTTTCTTCATATCTCAAAAGAGTGGGGAATGTCCCGCCAGCCACCCCCCCACATACCTATTTTATGTAAAAGGAGTTTTTGTTTTAATATGTTTGAATATCATTAATATACATGACATATTCAACTTAATAATGTATTTTGGCTGACAGCAAATATAAAACTCAGCCAATTCACATATATGTTTAGATTTTTCCCATATTTATTCTTAGGAGGAAAAAAACCCCAGTACTCTCACCTTTTAAATTCTGCAACTTTACACGTGGTTAAAACAATACAGGGGTGGGGGGGGAAGGTTAAAGAAACACAGAGAGAAATCCGAATACTCACTCCTTAACATTTCTGTACATTTCTGTCGTGCATTTTCTAACTTGTTGTAATGCTTCAGCTCTTGGTCATCTATGAAACCCCGTGTCCATCAGACCTAATCGGCAATAGGGGAACACAAGTGTGTTTTTTAAGTGCAATTATATATTACTTTGCATGACATTAAAAATCACTTTCATGCTTTTGAAAGAATTCACAGAGAAGCATCTGTTCCGCTGCAGGCTCTGCTAACTACAGAAGTCTTCTGTAAAATTTGCTTTTTTTGGTCACACAACCATTTCTTTTTACTTAATGAAATGCTCTCTCTCATCAAATCCAGTCCTTAGCCCTCCTGACTACACACACAAGTATTTTGCAAAATCATTTCTTCTCCCAGCTTTTCTCACCTGCGGTCGTCAGCAGCCCCCATTTTGCCTAGAAATGACACGTTTTACACACAACTGTGCACTCTTAGTTATTGGAAGAGTTTGGCACTCATGCCTGGGGCTGACGCTCCCACTACATTCACTCTGGAAAGAACTGGGTGATGAAAAGAATCAAAAACTGCAATTTGGCCCAAACAGATTATTTCTTTAAACAATCATTCTATTTTTTTTACCACTATAACCTCGATCTTGATTTTTATGAAAAGCACTTTTACCTAATGATATCATTAAAAACAGATTATTCAGAGTGTTTCCATAAATCAAAATGTTTTCTATTCCTCTACCTGTTTAACGCACTAGTGCAATTACAGGACTGAAGGCCGGAAGTGACTGACTGTCTGCGCTCGGTGCCTGACAGTAACGCGAGCACTTTCGTAAAGCCAACACAGATGCTACCTGGGCCTCAGTCCACGCACACGTGCCATGCAGACACTCACTTGCAGATGAGCCTGGGGATGTGCAAGGACAAGTTCAGCCAGCATTTGGAGGAACCCCACAGTTCGGAAGTCAACTTAGCAGAAAACATCCAATTGTATCATGGAAGCATCACACTTACCACCTGCACAGATTCTGTTTAGGGAAACACGGAAGACTAGTTAAATACTTTGGGGATATTAGACACGAATATCTAATCTAATTTTCTCCAAGGAATCACTTCATATTATGGCAAGTAAACAAATAAAGGCCCTATCAAGGTATGGAATATCATGAGCCTGAGAAAAGGCTAGAAAACTGAATTACGTAAATGACAACTGCAAGAGAAAATTATATTCCCTTCTCCTGAACAAATGTTAAGTACATCCTTACTAATAAAGACTTAAATTCAAACTACATTAGAATATACTGGTTTTCAATTTTGAAGCATCTAAGTTAATTTGCCAAGCTGAATTGGTGGTTAGGTATACTCTGGCTATAAAAATACTGCAGGTTTATGCAGAAGTAAGTCATAAGAATCACATTTCAGAATAGTGCTGTAAAAGCAAACCAGGGTCATTAGTGAAAAAGAGAAGATTATGAGATTTTACATCCTCTTTGAGTTGTAGCAACTGCTATTCTATTCAAAACAGTTATTCTCTATAAAACAGCGAATAATCATACCAAAAAAAGGTTAAAAATACAGAAGCTGACAAAACATAGAAATTGAAGGGATATATACAGATATTGAGATATTACTACACAAAACAGGCAGTGCTATCTCAGAGTTAAAACATTACTTCAAGATATAATACTGTTTTCATAATCTATAATTCACTCAGGATTATACAATCTCATTTACTTGCATGTTTTCAACTAAAGAACATTTACATTTTCCCTAAGAGTTCTATAATGTAAACATAAATGAACAATGATTTATTATTAATAAAAATGAATGATAGGTAATTAATTCATATATTCCTTTTTCATTTCTTTTGACACGGCATGTCAAATTTTAAAATATAAGGGAAATAGCATATGGGTGCTGATCTTAATTTTTTTAGCTGCCAGGAAAAAAAAAAATTCTGATGGGGGTGTTGGGAGATAAATAAAGCAATTATCCTCAAAATTCATGCTTTCGTTTTAATTTCAGCAAACAAATCTAAACACGTCTGTCTTTGGTTTTAGTTTCCCGGGTAGTGCTAGTTGGCTAATTACCCCTGGAGTCAGCACTGAGCTGTGACCCCACACCTGGCCTCTCCCGTCACTGTGCCCACGGCATCCTCCACTTTCATTTCCTCTTTCTCCAGTGAGTTTTCACATTAAACAAAAACACTCACACGTCTCACGTACGCACTGATAGACAGCCGACTTCCAGGAAATCGTGATCTACAAAGAGAGGGGGGAAATCTTAATGCGATACTGATGTGAAAGGGTATTAGGTTCTGGGTGAGCCAAGGGTAATGTGATGGACAGTATCCGTCCTATTGTTTCTCCATTCAGAGATTGCAAGCCAAGGACAGTAACATGAATATAGTGGTCACCCAGGGTACGTTTCAGATCCTTAAACTATTAAGAGGCTAAATGTGCCATCTGTACTTACTCATCAATTCGAATCTACAGCACAGTGTTTTGGAAAAATAAAACAGTTTGCTTTCTCTTTCCGGAAATAAAAACAAGACATTCCATAAGCAATGTAGCTAAGTACCTGATGGTATGAAAAAGAGAAACTGTTTTCGATCATTAAAACATTCTAGAAGAATGTTTTCCAAAAAAAAAAAAAAAATGAAGTGGCCTAAATGCCTGAAATATTTACCTTTTGATTCCTGTTTCTACACATGAAGCATGCCTTTCTCTACAGATTTATTCCCAGCACTAGTAAGCATTTGCTTAATATACTGCTCCACGCTTTTATTTCTCAATTAGTAACCACCAAGGCAGAGCACAAAGAAGGCCGACAAAGGCGCTGTCCCAAAGCCACAAGTAGCAGGGAGTACATGCCGGAACACTTCTCGTGGAACTCTCATTTCTCGCTAAAACTTCTGTTGCCAAAGTGCTCACAAAAATCTGGAAGCTCAAAGACGGGTTTCGAGTGCAATTAAATTCTCCAAAAGCAACACTGTACAGAAATATGTGGCCCTCCTTGTGTCACGGCTTTACAGACAACACTTTCTCAGGATCTTAATTAGGATAACGATGCACACCTGTGTCAACAGTCCCTGGTAGGACAGCCTTATCAATCATAATCCTTTAAGTACACTCCGAAACAGCAAAGTGATAGGACGGAAGCAATCTGTTGCCTCTCCAAGCGCCGGTGTTGTGTCTCTCTCTCAAGAATGATGAGATCTTCAAAAGACAGCAGGCCTACTTTCACAAGTCTTCAAAGTTTTCACTGTAAACAGTTATTACGCTAAACAAACAGGAATAACCTCCTTTTGCACCCGATTGAAACAATGACGGCTGTACAGCCGAAAACTCAAAGAGCGAGCTCTACGGCCATGTCTGAGCCATACAATGGTGCATCTTATTTTTCACAGGTTTAAAGTGATGCCTAACTGGATCGGTGCAGACATGACAAACTCATAAATCCTTGGGGAGCTGTAAAATTAAGAAACTTAAACTCCGGCGTGAAAAACAACCAGGACATACCTACCGGTCCCTAGTCTAAATTAAAAAGGTTCAGAAAGAAAACGCAATAGTAAGCTCCTCCACCCCCAAAATAAATCGTCTTGGTAACGAGACGAGGGAAGTAATTGCCACCTCTGCTGGGGGAGGACGCTTCAGTGACATGACAACAGCCCAAGGAAACTACGACCAACAAGTCCGCAGGGTCCCACACGGAAAAGCCCGTGAATAAAGGGGGGGAGCGGGAAATGGGGGAGGGTAACGTACTGCCACCCCTACCGAGATAAAAAGTAAAAAGCTCGCATTTACCGGGAAAAAAAAAAGTGAAAGCTTTCGCAGGAAGACGGAGAAATCCGCCAGATGCTCCCCGAATCCCTGCCGCCTGCTCTGGACCCGCTCCTCCCTTCAGTGCCGGAGCCCGGATCTACGGCAGACGTCGCGCAGCGGCCCGAATGTAAATAACGCAGAAAATAGAGACATCCTTAAGAAATGAGTCTTAAATTTGACGTAGAGTGGAGGTGACAACCGCAGCAACAGAACCGTAAACTCTAAATGCTTCCCTGTCTTTCGGGGTTCTCTCCAGGCCCTGACGCCCGAAAGGAGACGCAAGAGCGGATAGGGGTTGGGGGAGGGGAACCGCCTAGCGGCCCGAAGTGGCGGCAGGATGGAATGAGGCTGTCTGCGGGCAGACTCGGATCCTCGGCGGCACAAACCTCCATGGCTCCATTTCGGCACTCAGCATCCCGGACGAGAGCCGAGAGGGTGCAGCCGTTGCGCGTGGAGGGAGGGGACCCACTCTCGCTCGCCCGGGGTCCGTGACACCAGGAGAAGCCCGCCCCCAACTCACGCGGCCTCTGCCCGCCGGGCGCTCCGCGGCGCTCCGCCGCGTCTAGCCGGTTCATGAGAGTCCGTGGCTGCCGCTCGAGGGGCGGGAAGCCTGGGTGCGACGGGGTGGGGGACCGGGCGAGATGGGGGCGCAGGGCTCACCTCTCCTCCGCGTCGCGGGAGCGCGGGCCGAGGACGCTCCCTCGTGGCCAACGCGAGCCCCCGGCGGGCGGCGCGCGCGGGCCGCTACCGACCGTTACCGCGAGGGGCTGAACGGCGGCGGGCGGAGCTGGGGGCGGTCGCTCGGGAGCGGAGGGGCTGCGAGAGGCGGGGGACCCGGTGCGGGTGTGGGGGGGGACAAGGCCGCAGTGCGGGGACGCTCGGAGGCGCACCCTGCGACCACCCCGGTCTAGCTGCGTCCGGCAGGACATGGCCCCTGAGCTGCTCGCCGGCTCCGCGCTCCCTCCCCGTTAGGTTGTCTGGGCCCAGCTTCGGCTGGCTCACAGCCACCTCTGCCCGGCTGAGCCCGCCACCGCTGCCACCGGCTTTCCGTCTCCATGACAATAGGGCGCCGAAGCCCCGCCCAGTCCCGCCCCCTCAGCGTTGGGCTGGGTGGGAGGCGGGCTCAAGTCTTCCAGGGACGTTGTCGGTGGAGGCCAGCGCCCAATTAGAGGTGAAGGCAGGGAGAAAAGGCCGAGGGGATCCAAAGGGTCCCGGAGAATAGCGCTCGAGGGGCGGAGCCTAAAGAAGCTGACGGGGAGGAGCCAGGGCGCGTGCGCTAAGTCGCCCCTCTGAGCGGATGCTTGTGTGCCCAGTGGGTTTGAATGCGGGGGCCGGAGGTCGGGAAATCAGTGTGTCCTGCCCGTCAAAATCATTGCGGGGCACTTTGTGTATAGTCGTGCTTCGGCTTGCGCGTGACCCCATTATAAAAGGCCACACATTCCCTGATATATCAGGCTCTGGTGGAGTGTCCAACCATGCTCCTGCCCTTGTCCTGGTTCACCAGCGCCCCTGTCTGTCCCCGAGATCGAAAGCGTCTGTGGCTTGTGGCAGCGCGAGGTGGAGGGACTGGCAGATGGTTATTTTGTACTTTCACTGTGTGGCCATCATGGTCAATGGCTCTGCCTGTGACTCAGTGGTGTGTTTACCTTGCCAGCGCCTTGCTGAACAAACAGCGGCAGGGTTGGTCACTACTCTGCGGAGTGTTTACAGTGCAGTACGCGCAGGTGTGAGAGCGCGAAGGGGAAGGGGACCCGCATCCCCCACCACCACTACCACCACCGGCCTTGGCGGAGAGAGCTTCGCATGGAAAGCGCCAAGAACGAAGCAGCGAGGCTTGGGCCAGGTGGGAAGGGGAGGGGGTCCAGAGACCTATTCTGGTGTAGCTGCTTCTCCGTCCAGCAGCTCTTGCCCACTGCCTCCCCTCTAAAGAAACGCTACCACCACACGTCCCGGGCCCCCAGTGTCTTCTGCCTCTCAATCTGGTGGAAGAAAGGCCGGATCCGATACGTGCAGATGTCCAAGGCCTGTCTCTCGCCCACCTGCTGCTGCTGCTGCTGCTGCTGGCGAAGGATAGTCACCCGGACTCCCTCGCCTTGAACTAGGGCATTCATCGGACTCTTCCGGGGACCTTCATTCCGGATCTTGAACTCACTTTCGGGGCCCCTGCTTTAGGGGAGAAGCCAGGGGCGACAGGGTGGCGATCCGCCTTGGAGCCCAGCCTCCTGGCCAACAAGATATCCGCTAAGTCCGTGGTTTACTATGGGGAGGTGAGAGCAGAGCCTACGCGCAGTCCTTCGCCTCTGTTCTTTTGTGCTTTGGGTCGGCCAGACTTGCCACCAGGGCCTGTGGTGCGTCGGAACGGCCGCTCCACCCGGACTTAGCCAAGGAGGAAAGTTGGAAGAGAGCGGTGCGCCTGGGATGTGATTGTCATCCTGGGGCCGGCGCTCGAGAGTCAGAGAGGGAGAGACCAGAGAAGGGAGGGGACAGAGAAAAAGGGGGGTGGAGACGAGGGCTTCAGAGGAGAGGCGGGCACGAGGGAGGGGCGAGGAAAGAGCCAGCGAGCCGGAGAGGGAGCCGGAGAGGAAGAGGGAGAGGGCGAGGCTCGCCTGGCGGCCGGGTTGGCTGCGGCCGCCCAGAGGCTCCTGCCAGTCCAACCACCGAATACACCCCGGGAAGGAGGAGCTTCAGGCGCGCACAAGGCGTCAGAATCCTCAATTTCCAACTTAGCATCTTGGCAGGACCTTTGCGAAGCCAAAAGCAGAGCCCCCCGGTGCAAAGAGCGAGGGGGGAAAAGAGAAAGCAGTAAGGGAGGGGGGGGGAGAATCCAGCCGGGGCGAGTGAGGCGCGCAGAGGAGCGGGCTCGGCGGTCGCAGCCGGAGGCGCGCGGGAAGCCAGGGAGGAGGTGCTGCGAGCCGGAACCCGGGAGCCGGGCCCGAGGAGCGGCGGCCCGGGGCAGCCGGAGGCCAGGTGCCGGCCCGCTCGCCCTCGCAGGGCGCCGCCCGGCTCGTTGGCGGCAGCGGCGCGGAGCGCCCCATGCCCGTGTGTGGCCATGTCCTACCCGCAGGGCTACTTGTACCAGCCGTCCGCCTCGCTAGCCCTTTACTCGTGCCCCGCGTACAGCACCAGCGTCATCTCGGGGCCCCGCACGGATGAGCTCGGCCGCTCGTCGTCGGGCTCTGCATTCTCGCCCTACGCCGGCTCCACCGCCTTCACGGCACCCTCGCCAGGCTACAACTCACACCTCCAGTACGGCGCCGACCCAGCGGCGGCCGCGGCAGCCGCCTTCTCTTCGTATGTGGTAAGTGAGCGGGAGCCGCGGCGGGAGAGCGCAGCTGGGCCCGCGCGGGGCGGGCGCGGGCTGCGGGCTGCGGGCACACGGGCCTCAGCGCCACCGCAGGCCGCCCCCCGCCAAGCTTCCCGGCCCTTGCAAACTTGAGCGATTGTCTCGCTCTGCTGCGGCCCGGCCTCGGGCTACAGAGTTGCTCGGGAAGCAGTACCGCGTCTCGCTGGGTTCGTTGAGCTGGCGGAACGTGTTTCGAGAGGAGAGGTCGCTGCGTTCATTCAAACATGAACTTCAGATCGCCCTTCAATTTTTATCTTTTTTTTTTAAGTTTTGCAATTTTGGAAAACTAGTTCAAAAGAAATAGACCCGAAGTCCTAGCAAAGCATGCTTAGTTTGTGTAAAAGCGTTTGGCCTCGCCTTTAATTAGTCCTCCAAAATGTTGCAAATCCGTAATCCTATCTTCACAATCCGATTTGGAGGTATTAAATTTCTGAAAAGTCGGCAGAGCTGCGGTGCATCCGGGATTTTTCGGCCGGGTGCACTTTCTGATGAAGCGCTTTCGGCTTCGGTTTAGGGTAACATTTTTGGAGGAGTGGGTGTGCCGGACGAGGTTCAGCTTTTCGTTTGTCTTTCTTTGGGGGGGGGGGGTTGGGGAATGCCTTTACTTCTCTTGCTCTCCTTCCTTACATGCAGCCAGCCACCGGGGCTTTGAGCGCAGAGTCGCCACCGCTGCCCGGGCCTCTCTCTCTCTCTGGGTGGAGGCCTGGCCACGGTGGTTGTATCTGAGCACCGGAGACGAACATGCCCCGGGAGACGGGGCCTACCAGGGACCGGTGAGGCCAGGACGGCTTCAAAGGCCCCTGCCGAACCGGACTCGGGAATTGGACTCGGGAATTGGCGCTCCGGCTGCTTTCCGAGAAAGGGGAGGGGTTGCCCTTGGGTCTGAGCGGGCCGGCCCTACCCTAGCGGAGTTCGGGCCTCCGACCTCGGGTCCCAGGGACAGGGTGCTTTGGTCACCCAGGTGGCAGTGGGGATCGTGGCCCATTCTCACCTTCTTTCTGCCTGTTCCCTGCAGGGCTCTCCCTACGACCATACACCCGGCATGGCAGGCTCCTTGGGGTACCACCCTTACGCGGCTCCCCTGGGCTCATACCCTTACGGGGACCCGGCGTACCGGAAGAACGCCACCCGAGACGCCACCGCTACACTCAAGGCCTGGCTCAACGAGCACCGCAAGAACCCCTACCCCACCAAGGGCGAGAAGATCATGCTGGCCATCATCACCAAGATGACCCTCACCCAGGTGTCCACCTGGTTCGCCAACGCGCGCCGGCGCCTCAAGAAGGAGAACAAGATGACGTGGACTCCGAGGAACCGCAGCGAGGACGAGGAGGAGGAGGAGAACATTGATCTAGAGAAAAATGACGAGGATGAGCCCCAGAAGCCTGAGGACAAGGGCGACCCCGAGGGCCCCGAAGCAGGTTGGTGGGCGCGGGAAAGGGTGTGTGGAGGAGTAAGATGGAAAAGGGGGGTCTGGAGAGGGGGGCGCACAGGGCCTAGGGGTAGGGTCTGGGGTCTTTGCCTTAGCGGTCGGGGACCTGGGCCCCGCCAATCGGCCTCTGCACCTCTGATGGCCTGGGTTTCGCCTGCAGGAGGAGCGGAGCCGAAAGCGGCCTCAGGCTGCGAAAGGCTGCAAGGGCCGTCCACTCCTGCCGGCAAGGACACCGAGGGGAGCCTCAGCGACTCGGATTTTAAGGAGCCGCCATCCGAGGGCCGCCTCGACACGCTGCCTGGGCCCCCCCGGGCCAGAGGGCCCTCCCCGGCGGGGCCAGTGGCGGCGCGGCTGGCGGAGGACCAGGGTCCTCACTACCCCTCGGGCGCGCCAGCTCCGGGCCCTCACCCAGCGGCCGCAGAGCTGCCCCCGGGCCCCGGCGGGCCCTCGGTCATACACTCGCCTCCACCGCCGCCGCCACAGGCGGTGCTCGCCAAGCCCAAACTGTGGTCTCTGGCCGAGATCGCCACATCCTCGGACAAGGTCAAGGATGGGGGCGGCGGGAGCGAGGGCTCTCCCTGCGCACCTTGCCCGGGGCCCGTGGCTGGGCAAGCCCTTGGAGGCAGCCGCGGGTCGCCGGCCCCGGCGCCATCGCGCTCGCCCTCCGGGCAGTGTCCCTTTCCCGGCGGGACGGTACTCTCCCGGCCTCTCTACTACACCACGCCCTTCTATCCTGGCTACACGAACTATGGCTCCTTCGGACACCTTCACGGCCACCCGGGGCCCGGGCCAGGCCCCACGACCGGTCCGGGCTCGCATTTCAATGGATTAAACCAGACGGTGTTGAACCGAGCGGACGCTTTGGCTAAAGACCCGAAAGTGTTGCGGAACCAACCCCAGCTAGACCTGTGCAAAGACTCCCCCTATGAACTGAAGAAAGGTATGTCGGACATTTAACGCGGGCTGCGTGGGTCCCGGACTTTCCTAATTTATTAGAAATCACGGCCTTGGCAGTTATTTTTCCATCAACAAGAGAGAAAAAAAAAACTACCCCTCCTATTAAAAAGTTTATAGTTCCTGGAGATGGACGACATAAAAATGTAAACATCTCCACACACACAAAATGTCTTAACCAACCGAAAAGAAAAATTAAAAGAAAGGATTTGTATTAAATCTTATTCTGTATATTTAATGTAGCATTTTGTATTTAAATTGATAATTCAATATCTTTGAAGTAAATTATGAAATTAAGACACCTGTACAGGCATTTAATGT